TTATAAATTGTGGATATTAACCCCTTATCAGATATATCATTGGCAAATATCTTCTCCCATTCAGTAGGCTGCCTTTTTGTTTTATTGATAATTTCCTTTGCTGTGAAAAAACTTTTAAGTTTGATATAATCCCATATGTTTATTTTTTCTTTTATTTCCCTTGTTAAGTTTATTTCTTTATATGACCTTAAAGTTTTGTTTTTTAAGCTCTTTTTATATAAACCTTAAGATGATGTGTTCTTTAATAACTTTTCCTGTGCTGTTCAAATATGTAAATGGACTTAATTACACAGATAGTCTTAGTGATAACTTTAATTTTACAAATGTAGAAACTATTATGTAGGAAATAATAATTCTGTCTAGCATTCATAGATGTAGGGACCACATGCCTGCTTTCCAAATTTTACGCTTCCACCTTTGTTTCGTTTTACTGAAAATGGGTGCCTTCCTCAAATTTCTATCATGAGATCATATATATATATATGTATATATATAAATTTTTATAAATTGTAAATATGATAAATGTTAGTTGTTATTCAAAAACAAAGCTTTAAACTTTGGAGAATAATACGAACCTCACAATAAAAAAGAATGTTATTGCTTTATAGTCAGTCACACACTTTGGTTTTTAACCCAAAAGAGAACCGCCCTTCCCATCGTTTACCCCATCCCCCAGATTTGGTTTCTGATGACTTTGGACAGTTTTGAAAGCCAAGTTGCTCCCGCCAGCATTGGCTCAATTTAGAAGAATGTCTTTAAGGCTTCAGTGGATCAGGGAGAAAAGACAAGGCCGTGTGTGTGTGTGTGTGTGTGTGTGTGTGTGTGTGTGTGTGTGTGTAAATAGAATATATATGAGCATATACATATATATGTGCTATGGTCAGATTTTACATTGGAGTTATTTGTGATTTTACAACTTGCCTATTATGGATTAGAGAACGTAGGTTTTTGTTTCTGGTTTTATAGTATTATGCCATTAGAGGGCAGTATTGTAGAGGTAAATTTGCCTTCTTAAATGTATTGAATTACAAACTTTATAATTTATAATAATCAAGCAAATTTAAGGCCTTAGATTTTTAGTATATTAAATTGAAGCCTCAATTGATGCATCTCTGCAGATATTTCAAATTAATAGAGTAAATATGTAATGGTTTAATCTATTTTACACCCAGATCTCTTGATACTGGTTTGGAGAAGGGAATTATTTTGTCAGTGTGGCCAAAGGGTGAAATTCATGCTTTACAGCATGTTAGCCCTCTATGTGAGAAGGCTCATTGGATTGAGTTTATAGGAATTGCCACTTAACTTCCAAAAACTTGCCTTAAGGACTTATTGAAGATAGATCTCTGTAGGATTCAACCTGTGGATTCACTTTTCTAGCTATAAATGGAAGAAGGGGAGATGCGATTTTAAGGCTTACGGCACTAGGGACATTTTGGGAAGACCCACCTGATTTTATCTGGTAAATTCCCTTTTGCCTTAAAATATATAAGCCTAGCAAAGACTATGTAATGTTTTTTGTTGTTTCAACAATAATACATTCACAGAAAGGTAGTATTTCTCAAAAAGCAAATGTGATTTTTTTTTCTCCTCTAAAATTCACTGGCTTTTAAAAAGAAGTATTATTGCAGTACGGTTATTATCTTTATAAATAAAACCGCCTATAAAATCCTCCCGTTACTGCTGCCTGGAAGAACTAGATAATTGAAATCGAGACGCTGGAGCTCCTGCTAGTCTTAGTGGTGGGACTGGGCATGCCCAGTAGCTCCGACGGGTCTGGTTGCAGATAGGCAGCTTTCGCCGTTCTGCAGCCGCGGGGACTGGCAGCTCCGGGGACGGGGTCTGACTCCTTTAAACGTAAGCACGTGCGGGGCCCCAATCGTGTTTTTCAGGGACCCTTGACGTTTGTTGCCGAAGCAGTGGTCCGGCTTTTGGAGGTTTTGGAGGTCTCCGAGGCCCAGCTCCCGGGCCCCTGCGAGTGC